GCTTGTCTCCTCTGCCAGGCCTGTATGGCCCTGTCAGCTGCCGCTGAGTCTGTCTGCCTCTGCGGGCGGCCAACGGGCCTGTATGTCTCTGCCGGCTGCCACTGTGGGCCTACCTACCTCCGTCTGTCACTGCTGCCCTGCTGCCGGGCCCATCCACCTCTGCGAACTGCCACCGGGCCTGTATGTCTCTGCCGGTTGCCACCGCGGGCCTGTATGTCCCTGTCGGCCACTGCCACGGGGCCCTTCCACCTCCGCGAGTCACCGACCTGCGTCCGCCTGTCTCTGCTGCGTGGCCCGTCTACTTCTGTGGACCGCCGCCGGGCCTGAATGTCTCTGTCGGCCGCCTCCGCTGGGCCCGTCCACCTCAGTCTGCTTATCTCTGCCGCAGGGCCTGTCCACCTCTGGACCGCCGCTGGGCCTGAATGTCTCCGCCAGCTGCCGCCGGGACTGAATGTCCCTGTCGGCCGCTGCGCCGGACTCGTCTACCTCTGCGGGCCGCTGCCACAGGCCTACCTGCGTCTGCTTGTCTCCGCCATCTTGAATCTCTCTGAAACAGTTTTATAATGGGGGCTGGAGAGACTGCTCAGCAGTTAAGAGCGTTTCAATGGCTATTTTTGGTTGTCAACCTGACTACATCTGGACTTAACTAAAACCTGAGCATCCGGATATACCTGAAAGGTAGTTTTCTTAATTAAATCCTTTGAAATGGGAAGACCCACCTTTAATTTGGATCTTTTGAGGTGCGAGGAACCCCCATCAATCTGGGCCACCCCTTCTGGGGGCAAGCTATATAAAGACATGGAAGAAGGAAGCTTCGCTCTTGCCTGCTTGCTCTCAACCTTGCTAGCAAGTCCATCCCTTCGCTGGCATTAGAGCCTGCTTCTTCGGGTTCCAGCTGAGACACTCAGCGTGGTGGACTGAACAACTACTGGATTCCTGGACTTTCTGTTAGTAGACAGCCATTTTTGGACCAGCTGGACCACAGTCTGCAAGCACTCTAACAAACTGTGGTGGTTTGAAAGAAAATGGCCCCCAAAGGAAGTGGCATTATTAGAAGGTATAGCCTTGTTGGAGGAAGTCACTGAGGGGGCGGGCTTTGAGGTCTCTCTTGCTCAAGCTTCCTTCAGTGTGACTGTGAGTTGACTTCCTGTTGTCTGCAGGATGTAGCACTCTTAGCTCCAGCATCATGTCTGCCTGCACACCGCCATGCTGTCCATCATGATGATAAGGGACTGAACCTCGGAAACTGTAAGCGAGCCAATGAAATGTTTTCTTTACAAGAGTTGCTGTGGTCATAGTATCTCTCTTCACAGCAATAAAATAATAAATAAATAATAAAATAAAAATCTTAACAGAAGACAGAAGTCATATATATATATATATATATATATATATATATATATATAGAGAGAGAGAGAGAGAGAGAGAGAGAGAGAGAGAACCCTGACAAATACAAGTGTGTTCTAGCCCTGCAGGAGACCAGAGTTACATTCCCAGTATCCACTTCAGCTGCGTCACAAACCATCTGTCACTCTCAGTAGGTGATAAACGCTTTCTTCTAGCCTCTGCAGGCACCTTCAGTCATGAGCACACACACACACACACACACACACACACACACACACACACACACACACACAAAGTCTTAAAAATTATAACAAAGTTCAAAAAGGAGGGATTACTACCCCGTGGGACCCATTTATAAATTAGGCAGGTTAGGTTTTGTTAGTGGGACATGCTTTTAAAAACTGCACCTTTCGAAGTAAAACCTTTAAAGCATTCGTCTGACTCACCATCAGCAAATCTCATGCAATTTCAGACACACCACTAAATCCATAATAAAGCTGTTGGGTTCGTGTGCCACATACACCATCCTTGGAGGGAGGGAGTGGAAGCCAAAGCCGCACTGACTTCCTGGCTGGTGAAACACAGTGAGGTCTTCAGAGCATGATGCCTCACTGTGCCTTGCACAGGTACAGAGAGGCGCCTTGTACAAAGCCTGTCATGGTGGACTCCCCAGGTCACCCTTAGCACCAGGCGCAGAGCTGACTCCATGCTTCTCCAGCGCTAGTGCCATGCCCCTCCCCCACACACTCCAAAGTGCCAAGTGAACTATAGTCAGCCATGTTTGCCACAACTATTTCACAGGTGGTTCCCATTCCTTTTTTTTTCTGGGCCCATTTGCCGCCTTTTTCTTGGGAAGAGACTGTCTTCTGCAGGAATTGGGGCTGGGACTGGTGGGCAGCCAGTCAGTGTGGTTGGTGGTGGTGGTAGTGAGGAGACACACTTACACAGCCCCAGAGGAAGTTCTGGAGTTTCAGGTGACAGTGTGATAAATCCTTCGGCCTCCAGGGAAATCATCTAGCCCCTGCCAAATATCTTTAGCTGAAAGTACTGCCAACAGATGCCAAAAGTACATCGCTGTTTATTTTCCTCCATGGGGAGCCTCTGTGTTCCCACTCGACCAGAAAACAGAGAGAAACCCGACGTTCAATTGAATGCTGCCCATTCCAAGATACATTTGTTTTCTGTAGACCCAGGGAAAGAACTAACAAGAGACACATTGGCGCAACCTGCCTCTGCCCTTTGGAGAAGCTGGCATCTCGAAGGCATTGTTTATGTTCCCTGTTTGCCGCCAGGTGAGGAGTCTCGGGCTGCTTCTCCACTACCGATGGGAACTGGCTTGCATTTAAACCAGATGGCATATCCAGTGCAGATTTATTAAATTTTGGAGGAGAGAAAGGGTGAGGGCTGAAAAAAAAAAAAAAAGAACACAAACAAAAGATGTCTGATCGTGGCGTGTAATCTCAGCTTGATCAATTAGTGTTTGAAAAATGTCCTTAGCAAAACATAGAATATGAACTGCTTTTTAATTGAGATCCATGTTATATAGACACTCCTATTAAATCCCTTCTGTGTAAAACAAATCAAATAACAGCTAGCAGAGAGCGTGTGTTTCTTTCTTGCGGTAACAGGACCAGATGTCAAGCTCTGACCTGTAGTTCAGGGACTGTTGGTTTTGAGGGATTTCTGCCTGCCCAGTGATGTTCTTCGAATTTATAAGAACCCAGTACAATGGCCCCTGAAGTCAATGCCAGCGCTCCTCTGCACCTGGTCTTGCTATTCTTCCACTTCAAACACCGCCAGCTCCCAGGGACCCCCAGACTGGTCACATCTACCTCCCCAAACCCTCAACCACGGGACCAGCTGTTTGAGTGTTGAACTCTACCATGCTTTGAGTCTTCAATCTGCCATTCTGTAGCTTTGCTTTCATTTCTCGGGGTAATATTAAGTGTCTATTATTGGTGGAAGTATTAAGGCAACTCCATGTAGTTAAAGGGGGGGTTTATTTTGTGGGGTAACTTACAAGTAAAGGGATTGGTTATAGGGTCCTGGAGAGGTGTAGTGCAGTCCAGTTGGGTTCTCTGGAGAACTGTGCTCAGTCTACATCCAGCATCCAGGATCCAGGAACCAAGAGAGCTGGCACGTTCGGATCTTGAGTCTTAAGGGCTCCTCTCTCGGCCCCGCCGGCATCCTCAATGGGGGTGGTACTTCCAGGTCAAAGCTGGAACAGCTACCCACTACAGCCTATGACTCAGGGAGGTTGGGAGAATTAGATGAAATATGGCGTGAAACGCACACAGTACCATGCCCTGTAGACATTGAAATTCTTAAGACCGCAGCCCCTATGACTAGCTGCTACTCTCAGACTTTGCAGTCTCTGGGGCTTGGGATCGGGGGTTTGGATGACACCATTCAAGCACTCTGCCTTCCTTTCAAGCTATGAAGTGAGGAGGCTGGTGGACATTTCCACTCAAGCAGCTGCATCTTGAGGACTGCTGCCTTCATCGTGGGCAGCAGGGCGGGGCCCCATGCTTCTCCTCTCTTGTCCTTTTAGACAGAGCCAGCGGTTTGCAACACAGCTCCTTCCTGTCTGGCTAAGGATAGATAGCAGAGATAATCTCACCTCCATGGTTTGGAATAGACCATCTCCCTTTTCATTCGGCTTTACAGACATGGAGGCCATCCCGAGGAGAAACAGAAAGAAGGAAAGAAATAGGTAAAGGGCCGGCATTCTTAAAGGTTCTGAGAGACACAGAAGCCAACCTCCCAGACTTTGAGGGGAGCTCAAGTTTACCTTTCCTTGAAGTGTAGTAACCCAGCCCCGGTTGTTGTTAGCTTTGCAGGGTCGATGGATTATCAAATTTCCTGTCAAGACCAGCCAGGTCCTCTCTATACTCCAAAGCTAGTCAGAACCTCCAGCCATGAGTACCTTCACTTTGGAACTCCAAAGCAGCTGAGTGAATGAAATCAGAACTATTTGAAGGAGCTGAATTTCTGGGACACAGTGTTTTCTGGAACTCCTAAAGCATAAAAGAAGAGCAAAATAAAGAAAAAAAAAAAACTCCTTTTCAAGACCCAGGAGGTGAAGTAGCTGTACTCAGTTCCCAGGGTTGCCTGGTTTTGAGCCCAGAATGTCTCTCATTGTGGGAAACCCCGTAGTTTTGTGTGAACTGGAACATTAGGTCACTTCAACAAAAAGGTTGAATTGCTACTGAGAAAATTAAAATTCCATGGCAGAGTGTGCTTAACTGATTTTTAGAACCATGCCTCTTAATACAGGTAGATGAATGTAACTAGAAAAGGCAGGGTGACAAGTTCTTTCCTAAGAAGCCGTCTGTATCTCAGGGAATCCCGGTCAGTTTTCTCTGTATTTTCATTTGGTAGCACTTACTCCAACTGCAAACTTGATCCCTGGGAGGAAATAATTAATGCTGATAGGGTTCTTTTCTTAAAAACCCAGACTGTCATATGACACCAAACACCCTACGGACCAAGGAAGAAACCAGTGTCCAAAGGAAGTTTCCTGTTTCAAGAATGAGTATTCTCAGGAAAGGAAAAGGGTGACGTGGCCTTTGAGAGAGCAAGCCTAGCCGGGCGGTGGTGGCGCACACCTTTAATCCCAGCACTGGGGAGGCAGAGCCAGGAAGATCTCTGTGAGTTCGAGGCCAGCCTGGTCTACAAAGTGAGTTCCAGGAAAGGCGCAAAGCTACACAGAGAAACCCTGCCTCGAAAAACAAAAACAAAAACAACAACAACAAAAAAAAAAGAGTTAGGTTTATGGGGTTGGGGATTTAGCTCAGTGGTAGAGCACTTGCCTAGCAAGTGCAAGGCCCTGGGTTCAATCCTCAGCTCCAGAAGAGAGAGAGAGAGAGAAAGAGAGAGAGAGAGAGAGAGAGAGAGAGAGAGAGAGAGAGAGAGAGAGATAGCAAGCCTGATGACGTGATGTAGAGAAACAAGTTGACAGGGATGGCAATGATGGGGTGAGTCAGACCAAGAGAGAAATCTGACAAGATGGAGGAGTGTTAACTACGCTGAAGATGGACCCAAGAGGGGTGTATAGGGATGGGAAAACTTAACTGGCATTTGTGGCTGGTCTTAGGGACAAGAGCATGCTGTCATTTGGTCTGGTACTGACAGATATGTAAATGGTGGACCTTTATCTGGGATGCCCAGGATGCTCCCAGCACCTTTGGCATATATCTGCAGCTTAGCTCAAGACATTGCCTTAAACACACACACACACACACACACACACACACACACACACACACACACACACACACTCTTT